GGTAAGTGGCCCTCTGCCCGAAATAATTGCCCACCCCTGGGCTACACCCTAGAACTTCCGCGAGTCTTGCAAGTGTTTTTAGAGATTAGCCTTCTTGCTGGTTCTACGAGCCCTGACTGGTGGGGCCTTGGACCCATCTGCAGTTTGGAAAAAATGATATCCTAGCTAGACTCTTAAAAAAACCTCCAAGCCAGCCCCCTTATTTGCATTATACCAATTATTCAGGAGTCACTAAAATCCTCCAGAAATTTTTGGGGCTCCTGAAACACCTGGCATTCTTCTGGCTGTGATAAGCCATTTGTTTGGGTGCCTTTCTATAGAGCAGTGGTTTTCAGGTTGTGGTCCGTACACCCCGGGTGTCTGCAGACTGTCTAAGGGGCCTGCAAAAGATGATTAGGATCAGTCAAAAGTATGTGAATACCCTCATTTACAATGCAAAGGGGTCCACACTTTCATTTTAGGGTTCTGCAAGTGAAAAAAAGTTAAAAATCACTACTATAGAGTAGTTGATTTCTCCAGTACAGGCAGACAGTGGGTAGATGCTAAGTATCTCATTTGATTATCTTTCAGTTGCATCCTAAAAGTACAAAGGTATAAAATATTATAATACATTCAGATAAGAAAATGGCCAAACCAAATGCAGGTTCATGCTACAAATAGAGACCAAACACCACAGGAATAAATGTGATTTGCGGTAATATCTATGCATGCTGCACATGGAACCATAAAGGCAAGTTGGTTTTGGGGCAAATCTATGATACAGCTATGGCTGTAATTTTTTTTTTAAGTGTTAGAAATCCACTGACATGCATTTCTACCAATGAACTGAAAAACAGGACTTTTTACAGTCTGTATCTCATTTAGAAGCAGGGGACAAAGGGTTTAAAACAAGGACAGTCCTGACTAATGGCTACCCTATGTCCATCCGGTCTGCAGCATTTCTGTCTTCTGTGGAGCCTGTTGCTCTGCCACGTCTACACTTCTTGATGCAGTGGAGATGGAGATCAGCAGCAAGAGTCAATGCAAGCAGCTGAGAGCCCTGAGCGTGGGGGGAGAGAGAGTAGGTGGAGACTCGCAGCCTGTGGCAAAGCACTGGATCACAAAGCATGGCCTGTGCCGGAAAAAGAGTGCCAACTCCTGAATTATAGAATTGAATTGGAAACTATTAGAGGCAGGTCATGAAAAGGGGCCAGATGTATGAGAGAGCTTTTTCAGCAGCGGGGAGATGTGATTCAGCTCTGGCATTTGAGCATTGCCTCCAGTGATTAGGATTACTACTTGTGAAGAAGCACATTATGGGTGCAACTTTCATTGATTAAAACATGTTTAAGTCCTAAGCCAACATCCCAGATTTTTCTTATTAAAAAAATTCTAATTACATTTTAGACTTCTTCTGTGAAGTGTTTTTCAGAGGTTTGTGTTATAATGTACATAACTTCAGACATCCAATAGTAGAAAATAAGGACTGCTATTTAAAAACACTGCTTCATTTCCTGTAGTCTCTCATTACTACATGCTTTGTGAATTGATCAAATGACATATATAACAAATTATGGAAAACATTACAAATTATAATAGTATTGAGAGAGAGAGAGAGAGAATTTTAAATTGTCAGTGTTAATAAATCACAAATATAATCAGTTAGTTGTCTTTGTTTATTTCCCTTTAATGTTGGGAGTAGGCAGTGCACTGAAAACTGATTAGAACCCTGCTGCTTCAGTTGTTTTGCATGTTCATGCTACAGTGGCAAGCTGTGGAGAAAAGGGTGCACAGAATACTCTAGGCTTGCTAATCATGCCGTTAAAGCTCCCAACATTTTTATTATTTACAGCAACTTGCGTGTTATGCTCTGTTTCCTAATTTTCAACTGGGAACTGCCTTAGGGCTTTTTTTGGATACTCTCAGAAAAGTCGGTGCAAATTAACTAAAGGTGTGAATTTTAAAGTTTGTCATTTTAACCACATTAAGTCACTGTTGGCATATTCTTACTCAGAATTAAAGTAACCTTAATTCACTTCCAAAATGAACTGAATTATGGTCACTTTGATTCTGAATAATTGTCTATGCAAGGTTTTATTGTCGGCTTACTAATCCACTTTAAAGGTTAATTCAGACTTATTTTCTTGTTCCCGTGAATAGAAACAGGAAGTTCCGTAGATTCTTTCAAACTGGTTTCATAAGTTAACTTCCTTTTACCTGAGGAATTGCTTTTGTTTCTTCATGTGTGTGTTTGTGTCTTGTTTTTCTTCTTGTATACTTGTATTTCTTTTGTATTTCTTCACTTGTTTTCTTGGCAACAAGATACAGGTACTCTTTTAATAGCAACTATCTATTGTGATAGTTGTAAAATGATTTTCAGTGTTCCACAGTTCCCTTCATCTGCTTTTATGCTCTAATGTTTAAATTATATGCCTAAATTGTGTTTCATTTATTGTTATAAGTGGTATACATCTGAAATGTAACTGAAACTTCAATGTGGGATTCCTGATAGAAAATGTATGATATGCTTGGGCCTTCAGAGGTTAATTTTGTTTGGCCAGTGTTGTGTATCATCACAAGGTTGTGGTATGATTTTTCAGAAGCTTTTTATATCTTAATTAACAGTCCATTTTACCCATATGTTAAAAATCATTAGCCTTTTGCATGTTAGGTTCAGGGGGGTTTTTTTGAAGTTATTTACTATAATTGAGATAATTAACACAAGAGAGTTCATGCATGTGTTTGGCATCGACTGACTTGCATAAAGTTTTTCTTTTATTTTTTTTCCAGCATACCCATGTGCCTAGACTCATACCTTTAATAACAAGTAACTGCACTTCAAAATCAGTTGCTGTTAGAAGGTGAGTGTTTTATAAACAGCAGCCTTACTAAATCAATTAGTTTTTATTATTTTGATTATGCCAGTAGAGCAGGGGTGGGCAGTTATTTCAGTTGGCAGGCCACTTAATGAATTTTGGTGAGTTTTATTGAGGGCCTCATGCACAAAAGTCTTTCAGAAAATATCATTTAAAGAAATTATAGATGATAAACAAATAGTATACTAAAAATTAATCGCCTACTGTATTTTAATTTTAAAGATCAGGACAAAAATATTCTTTTGAAATTCGTTTTTTGAGTAGTGTATATGGAGTGAT